CCCCCTGGTGGGCTGAGCTGGCCACACACACACACACACACACACACACACAAATAAAATTAAAAAAAAAAAAAAGAATGTTGTTAAACTATCTTTGATATATATTGTAAGGCTTTATATTGTCTTTTGCTTGATTTATAGTGTTCTTTTTATAAACTTTGGCCTTCACATAGATTATCATCAGATACAGGTTTCTTTATTTCTGTTACAGTGTGAGAGGGCTGGGTTTTTATGAGTAGTAAGCAGTGTGCACATCTTAATATCTTTTAGAAATTTAATGAATTAACTTAATTATCAGGACTGTGGGCTTGTATCAGTAGGTCTGTCCTTAATAAGGTTAAGGATATATTATAAATATCTTTATATTAGAAGTTTATAGTCTAAAACTTTCAGTGATACCTGTTTCAGGCTATATACCACAGGTTCACACTTGCTGTACTCTAAGTACTTCATGTTTAAGGTGACTAGAAGAATGGGGGAGTTCAATCCCTGGTTCTGCCAAAAAAAGAAAAAAAATAGTAAAAAGAAAGATTGCCTCAAGCATGAGACCAGTCTAGGCTGCATACAGAGTTTAAGGCCAGCCTGGACTACAGAGCAAGATCTTATCTCAAAAAACAAACAAAATTACCCCTGTATAATATATAGTATGGGACTGTGCATATACAACCCAAGCACATCATGTGTTGACAATGTTTTCCCCCAATTTTTTACTTCTAGTGAATTTGGTTCTAAAATCATCTTGCTTAAGCCAATTATCAAAGTGTTGCCAAAACTCTTTGAGTCTCGAGAGAAGGCTGTTCGAGATGAAGCCAAACTAATTGCTGTGGAGATTTATAGATGGATTCGGGATGCTCTGAGACCCCCATTACAAAATATAAACTCTGTACAGGTGAGATATAACATTCTCTCTTTTTGGCTTTGCATGAGGCTAATGTGAAGGTACAGTATTTCCTCCCTGTGACTAATATTTTATCCTTACATGAAATCTGTGTGTGTGTGTGTGTTACTGGGCATTGAATTCGAGACCTTGTGCTTGCTAGGCAGGCAATTATGCCACTGAGCTGTATGGCCCTCCTTACATAGACTTATTTTTCTTTTTTCTTTTTTTTTTTTTTTTTTT